TATTCTATTCTATTCTATTCTATTCTATTCTATTCTATTCTATTCTATTCTATTCTATTCCATTCCATTCCACTCCACTCCACTCTATTAAATTATCTCTCTATCTCTCTATATATCCAGCTATCTATTTACCTATCTACCTCTCCAGCTATCTTCTAATTCCCTCCTAAGAATAAGATTTGAATAAGGAACAGAGAAATGAAGTAACAGGATCACATAACAGCATAGATTCTAGCTTGCTAGATGGTTAAGAATTGGAGCTTTTTGTAATGCACATGCAATGCACAGTATTTCTATCCCAAATGATATTTTACATCAGAATTAGAATTCTTTATTGGCCAAGTGATGATTAGGGTAATACAACAATAGTGATAGATCATTATCATAGTATTACATAGAAAGGATTTGAGCATCTTGAATTTATGGAGTGACCAAACAGTGGGCAAGAACAGAGAATTGAAGAGTGAGCCTAAAGCTGAACACCAGAACTTGGGAGTCTCTAAAGCAAATAGATCATCAAAGTATATCATCGTCTAAAGTATGAAGGTGCCTGAGAGGAAGAGCATATGATATCCTGAAGCCAAACAGACCGATGGCGCCATCTCTCACGCAAATATTTGCTTTTTTAGAATAATTCAGAAGTAGGGGCAGCATTTGTGCTCCCTAACCTCTGGCTGTAGTCTAGACCAAAACAAGACCTGTTTACATGTTTATGAATTTTAGTAAGGTGATGGGTTTCCTTTCAAATTAGCACTGAAAGATCAGGTTGGAGTGAATTCATGATAGAATAAATTTTTAACAGGCCGCAATCTTGTTGGACATATGACATTCTTTCTTAAACTTGCAGTTGATACATGCAGACTGAAGATAAAATGATATTGGGAAGTGGGCCTATAAAGCCCTGAAAATTTGACTTAATAGAAACATCTAATTTGTCTACTGTTCTTTATAAGCCTTTTTTTATATTTATGTACGCATATCACCTATATACACTACATTTCTTTTAAGCTTAGGACACTGTGTTATTGTATTGCTACTAACGACTATATTGCAATCACTATTTTCCCAACTATATATTCTCTTGATGTCTTGAATTGCAAGCCCCTTTTTTGCTCATTCCCCATAGCCAAATGCCACACTGGCTGAAAAACTGTAGGAATTGGAATCAAGCTTGCGGACACCTAGATGGCAACATGATGGGAAAGCCACAGAACCCTTTTACAATCCACCCTAATATATGATAAAGTTAATGCAGTTACAGCAAAGGATTTTTAGCTAAGCCCAATTACATATGTTTTAGGACATCAAACACAATTCTAAAAACTAGAAGAAACCTGCAATTATGTAAGGCAAGATAATCTTGTTTTGTGCATCACAATTGCCTATTTTGTGTCCAGATTAAAGTCTCTTGTCTACATGTTTAGCGATGGACGCATATTTGACGGCGTATTTCATAACACAGTTTCTTGCCAATTTCCCCCTCCTCCATATATCTAATTGTCTCTCTGACCTAGCCTTCAATTTATTTCAGCTTCAGGCCAAAGAAAGATTGCTTGCTCACACCTTGAGTGCCATCTACAGGACACACATTATGAATACTTAACATTGGACTAGGACATCTCCTTTCTTCCAGCGCTTTTCCAGTATTCTTATCAGGTTCTTAATTAGTTTCCAAAATAGCACATTCCACTTTTGATGAGGGGAAAAAAAACCCTTTCTATCATCAAATGATCCCACAATTATGCATCTTCAAAGTATGCCTTGGGGCTTTTTTTTTTAAATTTCCAGTCCAGGGCCATGGAGTTACTTATAATACTATCATATGGATATACTTACTTAAATACTTACAATTCAATACTGTATTATCAAATTGGTTTTTCCTTACCTTTCATGGCCTGGACTGGAAATAAAAACAGCTCAGCTGCCTTTTGACAAAGCACTTTTGGGACAACTATGATCTGGAAATCAGGGGGTCTCCAACCTTGGCCGCTTTAAGCCTGGAGGACTAAAATTCCCAGAATTCCTCAGCCAGCTTTGCTTTTCCTCAGCCAGCTTTTCAACTCCCAGAATTCCCCATCCAGCAAAGCTGGCTGAGGAATTCTGGGAATTTTAGTCCTCCAGGCTTAAACCGGCCAAGGTTGGAGACCCCCTGATCTGGATGACTGAGAATCCTCACAGGCATTATCTTTCTTTTTTTCTTGAAAAAATTATATTATCTAAAAATCACCCTGAAAACGCAGCAAGATCTTCCAAGCTTTTTACCAGCTAGAAAGCGATCCTCCCCATTCCGCCTAAAAAAAAAAACCCCTCTTAATTCCATCAATGGTCCGCGCGGTCCCTTTTTTTTTTCTTTTCGCCCACCAATCCGCGGGTGGGGCGTGGCCTCCATTCCCCTCCCCTGCCCAATCAAAGCCGACCCTCCCTTCTTCTCCGCGCTTACGGCTCTCCTCTTTCTCACACGCGCTTGCTCCGCTGATTGGCGGAGGCGGCCCTCCTCCCTGTCCCCTCGACGGCGGGGGGGGAGGGAGGAGGCGGGACCCGAGAGAGAGAGAGAGAGAGAGAGAGAGAGAGAGAGAGACTCAAAGGCACGCACGCGGCTGGCTCCGTTCGGCCAATCGGGAGGCGCGAGATCCCGCGGGGGGTGGGCGTGGGAGGGGCCGAGCCCGGCGAAGCGAGAGGAGTGGCAGTCGAGAGAATCCCGTCGGGGACGGCCCTGGGGGAGAGAGGCGGGGCGAAGAAGGAGCGGCGTCCAATGGCAGCTGGCGGGGGGCGGGGCGGACGGGGCTGGCCTCCGCCTTGAGGGGGGGGGGGGGGGGGGGGGGGGGGGGGGGGGGGGGGGAGCCGTGCTGAGGCGAGAGAGAGAGAGAGGGAGGCGGTTGGAGCGCACACGCGCTACGGCCGCTGCCCCCAAAATGCACTCGGATGCCGCGGTTGTCAGTAAGTGGGTCGCCGGGCGAGGGAGGCCTGGCAAGCGGCGGAACGAGAACGGCGGCGGCGGCGGCGAAGGGGAGAAAGGGGCGGCCGGTGCCGGCGGGGTTGTTCGGAGGGGATGCATTGAACGGGAAGGTGGGTGGCGGGGGGGAGGGAGAAAGAAAGGCTCCCTTGTGACGCAGTTCGACCGAGGAGGCTTCCGGCAGCGGCGGCCCCTTTAGCGCTGCCTTGCCCCTCTCGACGCCGGCCCGGTTGAGTCGCCCTGGGGAAAGGGGCGGGAGGGCGGAGCGGGGTAGGAATCCAAGGGCCGCCGGTGACGGGGGTGGGGGGGGTAGGGGGAGAAGAAAGGAGCAACCCCCCCTCCGCTCGCCCTTCTCTGCCTCGTTGCATGGTGGGAGTTGGAGTTCTTGCCCGCCGGGGCTGCGCAGCCCGGCCTGGCCCCGCGGACTACAATTCCCAGAATGCATCCCCGCAGACAGCTGTCTGCCTTTCTCCCTTTCCCTCCTTCCCCCCCACACCCCCCTTCCCCTCCTTTCTCCACCATTCGCCCCTCTTTGGACCAGGGGGGGTGCAACCCGAGCAGGAACCCGGGCACGCCCTGCCCCTCTGCAGGTAGGAGAGAGTGAGGAGGGGGGGGGGAAATCTCTCATTGACTCCCCTTGAAGGCCTATGGGGCAGTTGCACGGGGTTGGGGGAGGGTAGGCCCCCCCCTCCTTTTCCCCTTTCTTGAGAGGGAGGAGATCCCTTAAATGTGTTTTTCCTCCGTTCCTTTAGCTCTTCCTCTCCTTTAAGCTTTCTAGGGGTTGGTTTGCCCTGAAGAAAAACTTCCCCATGGTTTTCTTTATTTAACATTTTTTTTAAAAAAATCGAGTGATTATCATATAAGATACAAAATATGAAAATAAATAGGAAGGCAGTGGCGGAGGGGGAGGGGAAGAAGAGAAGGGAGGAAGGGTTAGGAAAAAAAAAAGCAGGGTTGACTTTGCAGTAAAATAAACCACAACTTTCTCCCCTCTCATAATAATATAAATGAGCCTTTTTTATTAGGATGTGTCAGTCTAATCAGGGTAAAAGCCAAAGTCAAATTTTACTTCTTTTCCACTTCAAGCCCGGAGCTCGGAAGCCGTCTCCATGTGGAAACAAAACTACTTATATTCTTTTTTAAAAATCAAAATAGTCAGTGTTGCCATTTCAGCCAACTCCCATCAGTTTCTGCAGGCCGTTTATCCATGGTAGGAATCAAAATGTCCTTCCATTTTGGGGGACATATAATAATCTTGCTGCTTGTCAACATATATAGTGTTCAAACTTCCTCTTGGTTTGATTGACATTGATTAAAGAAAAAAAAATAGGGGCAGGGAAACTGCAGGATGCATTCTTTCCCCTGTTTCTTAATACTTTTCTTTGAGGTTTAACAGAAGCCAGTGATTTATTTCAGGATAAAACTTATTTGAAAGTTGCTGTTGCAATTTTAACTGGTTGCTGGACAGCCTTTCCAAAAGAGAGATCCTGTTGGATTGTTCATTGATCTAATAGTTGATCTAATAATGATCTAATAACCATTCTAATAGTTGGATAGAATTTTCTACGTCTTTGTTTTGTTTTAATATTCCTGGTTTTGCTAGAATTTGTAAATGGAGATCTTCCATTCTTGATTTTATAAAGAGGCTTTCCTGAATATGCATGGTAGCCATAGAGGAAGAGGTTTGTAGCTGGAACAGAATAACAAGCTAGTCATTAAAGGTTAGTAAAAAGAAGAGCCTTCCATCTAACAATGATGGAGAAGAGGCTAGAATGGCAGAGAAGAGCCAAATCACTCGATTCCTCTTGTCACCTGCATATATTTCTTGTCTCTGGTGACCAGTGACTTTTTAAACAAAAACTATTACTTGCATCAAGCTTGTCCACGCAGAATATAGGACATAAATATTCTTCTGCATTACAGCAAATAAGGGATAGTCCACATTGTAGTAATGTGTTTTTCATTGTAGGTGAAATTAGCAATTCTTTCATTTGTTGTGGACTGAAAACTCTATTTATCTTACTTTAAAAGTAAGAATGTAATTGAGCTAGTCAACTTAGTGGCTCCCATAGATAAATGTTAACCTCTGCAAAATCTCCCTAATCCTTGTTTGGAAATAGTATTATTTTTCCTTGATATTGGTCAGTTTATTTTTATGAATATTCTATATTCATTAAAAAACTATGGAGTGACCAAAAAAAACACCAATGGAAGAATGTCCTGTAAGAATTAGCCGCTTCTGAAATATGTGCAATTTAGTTACACTTTAGTAAATAGAGAACTTTGACCTACTCAAAGAAGTAACCTCTTAAATTTTGTCTGTGTATTTAATGCAGTTATATACTATTTATATCAAGTTTCTTCAGTTTTTTAAACTAGGCCCAATACTTTCAACAATAAGTAGCAGTAACCTAATTTAGCTGGCATCTATCGAAGGGTTGAAGAAAAAACATCAAGTGCAGAATGGACATCTGAGGTGCTTCTGATCTGGTCTCTTGAGCAGATTACTGCTGAATGCCTTGAATGCTTGGAAATTGAGAGGAAAGTGGCTATGTTGTAAGATCAGAATGCAGAATGCTTATTTGGAATTAAGGCTCACTTAAAAAAACAGATTACTTCCAAATAAATTCTCTTTAAGAATTCAAGCAGCAGTATTACAGTTTTTATGAAGGGATAACCCCCTACCGAACTTCAAGGACAGACTGGAAATAATTCTGTTGCTTGATGGTATTTTCTTTTTTTCTGTGTGGGCATGTACTGTATAGAAATGCATCCTTGTAGTAACATGTAAAATCACACTTCAGTGTGCTTATTAAGAAATACTGAAATTAAATATGACTAGAAGTAAAGTACTCCATTTATAGTCTTGCTGGTCTTTGAGATGCCATTTTAACACATCACATTTAAACATTTTAAGCTAATTTTTTTCATTTTGTCTTCTGTTAAAAAAAAGAAATGGGTTTAAAACCACTTCTGCCAAAGATTTCAAGGGGAAATTTGTTTCAGAGGACAGGCACTGCTTTAGAGAAGGTTCACTTCCAGGGTCCCAACTGTTGTTATTGCTTAATGAAAGGAAAAAAAATGGTGGTTTAAATTTATTGTAGGCCTATGTATGTAAGTGTGAAAATGTCCTGCAAAGAACCAATTCCCACTGCCACCACCACCAAAATTCCCTGGTTATCTTAGCATATATAGTACATGAATAGTTCAGTTGCTATAACAAACTTCATCTAAAATAACAGACACTTGTGCATGTATGTGTGTATATACATTAACATACATATATACATATACACACACCTTTGAGAGTAGGCATCAAAATTTCATTTTCTAATTGTACCAGTATATTCACAGTAAAAAAGTGATAGTAAAGGTTGTCTTATATGTGACCTATAAAAGTTGGAAACTGTTCATTTTAAAGTCCACCTCTTGAAGTCTCAGTTTCAAGAATTTTCAGAAGCTGCATTTCTTAAACACCATCATATTAGTTAAGTTTGGAGTTTGTGAGAGGCTTTGGTGGTTACTCCTAGGTTCTCAAATTGCTTGGCATAAGATGCCAGATTATCTCCTCGTTTGGCATCTTTTAGCTTTTAGCTCTTCAATTTTGCTGCAAATGGGTTTGAAATGAATACTTTTTAACATTGTCTTACTGGTACTTTTTGAGCCTATTTGCTATTTAATCATGTTCTTGTATTTTAATGTTATTTTACTGTAATGCAGTATTTTAATGGTAACGTCTTGAGCACTGCTTGTACAGGAGCACCAAGCCATAAATATATTAAAAGTAAAATTAATAAGTGGAGATAAAGCTTTTTGAGCAGATAGCAGGAGTTGGTTGATCTGCTTGGAAACTAATTATGGTTTAACCTTGTTAGTATTTGGATAGGAGTTCTCCAGACCAGGGGTCACCAACATTTCGGACCTCAAGGACCACTAAATTCATAATTTTGAATCCCGCGGACTACTAATATGATCTGTCTAGTGACCGGCTGGATGGGCATGGCTAGGTGGTCATGTGACTGGCTGGGTGTGGCCAACTCAGTGTCACTCACGTCGAGGGGCGCCTCGCCAGCCTCTACTCACCTGTCCCCTCCCAACCACTCCTCGCCTGCCTGCCCGGCTCCTTAGGGCTCCAACAGGAAGCAGTTGTTGGAGCTAAGCCGTCACCACGAGAAAAGAGTTGGCAAAATAGATGTCTCAGTTCAAATTGGATCTGACCGAGAAGGAGGCTCAGCAGAAGCACCTCACTGAGGACTACGAGCATAGGCTTTCCAAGCAGAGGGAAGACCTGCAGGAGTGCAAGGCCAGGCACTGGCGCCCGGAGGCTCAGCGGGATGAGATGGTCAGCCAGTTCCAGGCCATGATGCAGTCCCACTGGAACGAGGCCCCCCGGCTCTTCTCCGCCAGCGGCCCTTCCCTCCAGCCTTTGCCCAAAGCCCCGCACCAGGAGGCTGAAGCAGACCCCAAGTTGGAATTTCTGCTCCCCTCCTTCCTACACAAAAAGACCCCGAAGGGGGAGACTCTCTGCAGCAACACAAATGTTCATTGCGTGTATCCGGCCCAGGGGCCATAGTTTGAGGACCCTTAATTTGGTGCAATATAAACAATGCAAATAATTTTTCTGCAGACCACCAAAATTTTCTCGCAGTCCACCAGTGGTCCACGGACCATCAGTTGATGACAGCTGCTCCAGACAATACCCATGCTGAAGTTCAAAGCTGAGAAAAAACATCCTAGAAGAAGGCAGTGGAACACCACTTCCATAATATCAGGGAATTTACACAGATATATCCAGATAGCCACCAGGTCAACTGAAAGTTTTATTTTTGTGCCTTTCTGATGCACAGGCTTGACTTTGAGGTTGGAAGTCAAGCAGCACCTTCTCTGATTCATATTTAGATTTCAGGGCTGTGAGGTGGAGAAATGCCAATCGCAAGCCAATTTTTTTTTAACGGCTGACACAAAAAATATCATGAACCGATCC